AAAGTGTCCGCTCATCGTCGATGAGCTCTTAATGTGAAATTACGCGCGCAGTTTAATGACGATGAATTCAATTTAACGTGATGAAAGTGGAAACAATTATCTCGCGACGTGGTAACGGCGTATGAGGAATGGCACTCTCGATGGGCATTAACGATTTGTAACACGTTACGATAACCGTCGGCCAGTTCCATTTCCACGTGCGAGGAACGTATGTACGATTTTCCCGGGATTAACGCGACGACACGGTCAGTTGCAGATCGTACGATCCCTTGTATCGCGTCGCGTCTCGTACATGCAAACAAGCAATCATTTGAATGGCTGGCCATTCCACGGACGCACGATTCTACATCTAATCGCACTGACACTCGCTATTACTGTTATTTGCGATCAGGCTCTAGTCCCAAGTTGCTCTCCATCTCGCAGGGATTATTCCCAGGGATATTTCTCCCTGTTACAGCGTACAGTTAATTCGACATTTGTCATCGTGACTATTGTACCAAGCATGATTCCTCTGTCTTGTCGATATTGCTTTGCACGCGTCAACGTGATTCCTCCAACGTGCGAGTCTTCTTTCATACGGAAGGATGTGTCGTTCACACAGTTTCATTGTTGAATTGGCCGAAATGAAAAAGTAATTGCAGTTTTTCTTTCTAATAGATGGACATGTTAAATGTAACTAATCTCACTTTCAGCCCCAACATTTATATTCTGTAATCTGCTCAAGCTTGTTTAAGAAAACCAAGTTTTTTTGGAAAACCAAGCCAGATTTCAAAGTGGAAGATCAATGAAGCCAAATTTTGTTGCATTTTCGAGCCATATTTTTCGCTGTACTTTTTCCTTCCAAAAGGGAAAGAAAAATACTGTACAAGCTCGTAAAAGATCATCTAACGAAGATGAGTGTTCCAAAAGAAGCCTTCAAGCTAATCGAACGAAATGGTCAATATATTGTCTAATGAAGTCCTTGTCTCTCATGAAAAATTCGTACCCCCCCCCCCCAAAAAAAAGAAAACGCAGTTACACCTAACATGATTTTTCATGTTTCATTGTCATAACGTCAAGCTTTTGAAACCATATTAAAGCGTTATAAATACTTATCGAGGTACCATTTTATTTGTGTACAAATTATCAGGTTGTCCCAAAAGATTCTTTTATTCACGAACAATGTATGCATAACTTTTTTTATGTTATTGAATTATGATCAATTTTGATCTATTACCTTTCTCTGTCTCTCTGGAAGACATAATAAACATAATTCCATTTCCAAAAATTACAGCGAGAATCTTTTGACGAAGGATTCTATCTCGTCCCAGATATTATCCCTATTTCTTTCATTCATTCATTCAAAAAAAAAAAAAAAAAAAAAGAAACCTCTGCGGTGAAAGATTTGGCTCGACAGACGACACTACGAAATGCATACGTTATTCACTAATAAAACGAAAGAAACTTTATGGGAGGATCTAATGTAACCAAGTAAAACTTGCCTGGCTACATTGCTTTCAACAAGTCGTTGAAACGACTCGAATCGTGAAATAGTTGCGAAATATTCTGCAGCGTCGCGCGGTGTTCAAGGAACACTCGAGAGTAATCGCGGAGATTAGCCACCGAGAGTGCGATTAAATTTCAGCGAGTCAGCTTCCAAGCAACCGCGGCTAGATTAACCGGCGGTCGAATTCCGTTAATTTCGAGTCGGAATGCCTCGTTTGCGTCTTGCCGAGTTCGCTGGATCGGGACAAATCGATTCAGATCGATTTGAAAATCTCGATCCGCTCGGAAATGGCACTACAACGACGACGACGACTACGACGACTACGACGACGACAACGACTACGACGACAACGACAACGACTACGACGACGACGACGACTACGACGGTTGTGTCACGGTTTCGAGCCGTTTCTCAGCTTTCTCCAAGTGGCGAAATTGCCCTCGCGATTAGACCGGGATCTATCGGTTTCCTAATCGTCGTCGAACGTTATTAACGTGCAGAGTGGGAACGGCCTGCAGCTAGGCACACACAGTCGCGGTTCTAAACGGAATTAGTTTACGCAATCGCGTTGCGTGTAGAAGATATTCGAGCCTGATATTAATTCGGTGGCGTTCGACCGTGCAATTTCTATGTATCGTGCACAAATTAATTCGTGGTCTTCACTTCTTTTGCAAATTTACCGCGCATTTATAGGAAAAAAAAAAAAAAAACAGAATACATGTTGCCGTGAAAAAAAAACTCCAAAATGCACTATATCTAGTTACACGAATATTTATTTATTTACTCATTCAGTAATTTATTTATTTATTCAATTAAAGTCCATAAAAAGAATAAAGTAAAGCAACACGAGATAAACGACAAATATAGCGATGATAAAAATGTAAATGTAAAAGAAACATGTTTGCGCAAAGAGGACATTGTTTTACGTTCAATCGAGATGAAAAGTAACAAAATTCCTGAGTTGAATTTTTTCGCGAGGATAAAGAGAGGAAAAGCAAATCGAAAATTTGACGCCTGTCTTCCACTGTTTAATCTTTTTTTTTTTTTTTTTATTGTTTTTGATGCGACATTTTCTCTAATCGTCAAAGTCGTTTAAAATTCTCGGCTGAACGTGTTCCTTAATTTATGTGACTCGACGTTTCGTTTCGTTTCGTTTCAGGTACGCGGATCGTAGTTACAGGCATCATCCACGTGGGCTGATCATATACGGACCGGTGACGGTGTCGAGCATATTCGGCAACAATAATGCCACCTCGGCGACCCTGTTCTGGAGCGGCAGAGATAATTCCAACTTCTCCAAACTGGAAGCTGACTTCTCCACTCGGAACACGTACATCGTTGGAAGTTCCCAGGAATCTTTGACCGCGAACTCGACAAACAGCACGGTGATACCGCGATGTCCCCTCATTCCGCCGAATCTCGGTGAGTTTTCCTCCACTTTATCGTGGAGGCCGATACTCTCTCTCTTTCTCTCTCTCTCTCTGAAAACCGCTTTAACCATAGACCTCTCTCGCGTAATCTTTTGCAAAAGATCACCGACACAACGTTCGACAATGTTCTCCGAGTGAATGTAAAAATAGGAACGTCGTGTATATTTCGGGAGGAAGAGACGAGGAAAACAACGACGAACACTCATCGAGTGTTGTGCGTGTGCACGTTGATTCATTGTGCATCCCGATTGTAAGCGCTCGTAGGATTTCCTCGCTTAAAAGGAAGACAATGAAGTGAATCATCGCCGCGAGAAACGTTTCCTTATTTGTCTCTATGTTTAAAGTTTCGGTGCCACGTGGTGGGAGTAAGTGTTCCGTCGGCCCATGCATTTTCACGCATCAATTAGACAGTTTCCCATTGTTCTTTTCCAAGTCATGCACGTGCACTTGAATAGAAGCGACGTTGCAATAGCTGCAAATGTGCTATTTTCAACGCTAGAAACGACCAATTTAATAATTAACTTCCTATGGAAATTTTATATATTTTTAGATTGATTGATTCGAATGATTTTTAATAAAATGTTGTGTTCATTGTCACTTCTTTCGTTCATTTAACTCGTATATAAAAAATATATAATTCTTTTTCTTATTCTGTGCATTGTTCCCTATATTATAATATACAATTAGTTGTGTTATTTTGACCAGTCATGGAACGTTTACGTATATATAAAGTATATATTTAGTTTTAATAAAAGCTTGCGTTCTTTATTATACCATTCTTTCTTGTACTTTGCATTTTGATTTCTATGAATGTTATACCTTAATCGTCGATAGTCCTAGTGTTAATCCAAGGATGTCAAGATACTTGCTTATATTTGACAAAATTTGTTCTAATTACACAAAGTACGACTCAATTACACTACGAAGATTTCACTTTATTTCTTATATTTACAACTGTCCTACAGCTTTCCATGAACTTTGTAATACTGTGGCGCGATAAGTTTCGGTTTTTGGAGCAAACTTATTATTGTTCGGACGACTGAAAAGTGCGAAATTAATGGTTTATATAAATAATATAATATTATAATAATTATAGTATATATATATTATATATTAATGATTATAATGAATGGTATATGTAATTAATGGTTAATTATAATATATGGTATATATTATATATATTAATGGTCAATTATAATAAATGGTAAATATAATACACGTTATACTAACCATTAATATATACATGGTAAATATATGTTATATTAATATAATATATATTAATGGTTAATATAATATACGTTATATTAATATAATATACTTTATACTAACCATTAATATATACATGGTAAATATCTGTTATGTTAATATAATATATATTAATGGTTAATTATAATATATGGTATATAATATATATTAATGGTTAGTTATAATACATGATAAATATAATATACGTTATATTAATCATTAATATATACATGGTAAATTAACCATTAATATATACATATGTTATATTAATATAATGTACATATTAAGTTAATTATAATATGTGGTATATATAATATATATTAATAGTTAATTATAATACATGGTAAATATAATATATGGTATAATATATGGTATATATAATATATATTAATGGTTAATTATAATACATGGTAAATATAATATATATTAAGGATTAATATAATATACGTTATATATAATATATATTAATGGTTAATTATAATACATGGTAAATATAATGTACGTTAATGGTATAGACAATCCATTTTTATATAATAATTTGCAGTTGGCCCACTGGCTGTGATCAAGTCGCCCCCGGAGTTGCCAGCGATGGAGAAGACGTTCACCGAGGTGAAGCCAGGTGGCAAAGGTTGCCCGACGGATTGCGTAGCCAGGCATCGTGTAGCCATCGTCATCCCGTTTCGCGACCGGCCGAAACATCTTCAAGCGTTGCTTTACAATCTTCACCCGATGTTGCTCCGCCAACAGATCGACTATCAAATATTCGTGGTGGAACAGAAAGGTAAGGGCCGTGCCTGTTAGCGCGATTTATTGCAACCCGCCGTTTATCAAATAATAACGGTGCTTTGCTCGTTTTGTTTGCCTATCGATCTATTCGTCACGTGACGCAGGCAACGGTCACGTCCGCGACACGCCGCGATTGCTGAAAGCAGCGAAGACCGAAGGCACGTACACGCTTGAGGAAACGGAGCCGGAGCCAAGGCTTCTCGAAACACACGATGACAAAATCTTACTTAAGCGAAAACTGGAGCGTAACCTAATCGGAGGACGCGCGAACTACGATGGCTGTGTGTCGCACGTACCGCATTGCGGTATCAGTGGCACGAGTTTAGATGGAAACAGATAGAGAAGCAATTCGCGTCGTGCCGATCAGCCTGTCGCATCATGATAGAGCCCCAGCTTTTCTGATCAAACTTTTACGGGCAAACTTCGATTCGCGGAGTTGATCTGGATCTTTCATAGATCGGCTTATTTTTTACAACTCAACTTGTATAGAGTGGAAAGGCAAGTTTGTCCGTGGCCATCACAGTTGAATTCTATACCTTCGATCTGATGGAAATACCAGCCTTAACCTTGAATTTTCAAGATCAAAAACTTTTCTTTTCCTTGCATTGTATTATTCTACTCATCGCGAAGGTAAAAGTTTCCGAACGAATCATAAGTCGCAATTTGATAGTTCTTTTGCAAAATGGCAACAAAGTTTCATAATCATTTAACACCGCGGGCGCGTGAGTTCTAACAGCGACTTTATGATTCTGAACGCGTCGATTATATTTCGAATAACGTTAACAGTTAGTTTTATTATTCTTAGTTTGATTATTTAGACTCTCACTGATGCTAGAACTATGATAAATCAAATGTTAGTGAAACCTAATCCAGAACCATAAAGTCGCTGTTAGTCCGCATTTTTCAAGAGTACCATTTCGATTTGATGAAAATATTGTGCGTTTAAAGAACCTGCTGCAAAATTGGCTTTGACCCTGAATTTCAAATTCTTCTTTTTTGCATTGCATTCTACTCAACGCGAAGGTAAAAGTTTTCCAACGAATCATAAGTCGCAATTTGATAGTTCTCTTGCAAAATGGCAACAAA